TGCACAAATCGAGATACAGATATAGAACTCTCCACACACATTTGTAAATAATAAAGCAACAATTTTGGCCCCATAGGAGACTAACTGCTTTCTTTTGCTAGTCAATCAGGAATTAGTTGACACTAACAGTGCAGCAGTGTCTACTTCATTTATTTGACTTCAACAGCAAAGTAAGTTTTCATATTTGACCTGCTAATTGTGCCTTTAGATCATCCTTACCTAAATACATTAAATGGTGAAGTTTAGCTGTAACAAAGAAAACTTTCGAAAGAGCAAAGGTTAATTGTCTTAGTGATTAATGCATTCAGTTGATTTCAATTCAGTTTATTTCTATAGCACCAATTCACAACACATGTCATCTGAGGGTACTTTACAGTTCATTAGATCATACAGTCAAATTGATTCAAAATGTCTATCTAAGGAAAACTAGTTGATTGCATCAACTCATTGACTCAAATGCAATCCCTCACACTAAGCATGCTTGTAGCGACAGTGGAGAGGAAAAACTCAATTTTAACAGTAAGAAACCTCCAGCAGAACCAGGCTCAGTGTGAGTGGCCATCTGCCGAGGCTGACTGGGGTTTAAGGAGACAAAAGCAGAGATACAAAAAGCTGTGGTAAAAGGCGGCCCCGTCCAGGCGGCCCCTTCCATGCAGGCAAGCTCCGAGCCAACTCCCAAGTCAGAGGATAAGAGAGCACATTCAGCCAGTCACAGTCAGAGAAACAGGACTACACTGGAAAACAGGCTGATCTCCAACATCTATAAACAAAGGTGCTGATGGCATCAGAACAGCTGATATTTATCTCCAGGATGGTGTCACATCCAAACAGGAACAGACCAGATGAAGCTACTATGAGAAAAAGCAGAGAGAGCATAACTTTAGAGATTGAACTAACAGATTCTGCAGAGTAGGAGAATAGAGATAGAATGAAGCAGAATGATGAAATGGGGGTCCCTATGTCCTCCAGAATTCTAAGCCTATAGCAACATAACTGGTGCAATGTTTTGGTTGTGTTTTATACTCAGTAATACAAAAACAGTAACTTTTTAATGCGTTAATTGATTATTTGTTGTTATTGATGCGAACTGGGAGTGGTGACCTAGTGGATTAGAGCTGTGCACTTGTGCTCTGAGAAGGTTGCAAGGGCCCGATTCGATCCCCACAGTCTACACTCTGGCTCTAAGCAGGACCCTTAACCCCACACTGCTCCCCGGGCACAGCACAATGGCAGCCCACTGCTCCCCAAGGGGATGGGTTAAATGCAGAGGTTAATTTCTCCAGTGTGAGATTAATAAAGTTCCATTATTAACTATTACTGTGAAGTCTATCAGACTGTTTAAAATGAGTTAGCTTGCAAATCTTCACTGGTACCGAGTTTTTCAGAGGCTATAGCTTTATAGAGATTATGTATAGTCTCTCAAACTCACAGCACCAAACATAATTGTTATTACTTGAATAGTTATCTAGCAAAGAAGTGGCTAAACAGCCAATAATGAATACTTAGTTTAGAATAAAAAGTAAAAATGTCACGTTTTGAAGAATTAGAAAAGGACTAAGGTAAAGCCTGGAACCTGGATGCAGCATCGAGAGGATTTAATAAAGCGATAATTCAGAATGTAGGACCTTTTAGACAGACTCCAAGAGGATGCAACAGAACCTCATAACAGGTTTGGATCATCATAAAAATAAGAATTATAAAAATGTTGTGTTTTACATCTTCTTGGTCCAAAAAAAAAAAAATCTGTTTTTTTGGTTGGTTATTTGTCATTTGTATGTGGTCACTAAATGTGGTGATTAAATCCTTTGAAAAGGACCTACTGTATGGCTAAGTTAGCATTTTCTTTAAGAGCAAAATAAAGGATTCAGTTTCATCCATGCTTTTCTTTATGCTGGAGGTACATCCATAAAACATAGTAGTTATAATCAGAATTGTTCTTGGACACAAGGCCTCAAACCAAATTTCTTAATTGTTTCGTGGTTATGAGGTGTAGCTGGTTTTATCACTGCTAGCTGAAGCACTGATCAACCCCGTGGCATCAGCACTTGACACTGCAAAGTGGCTGCGCCCTTACTGAAAAATTATAAAACAAAGCTTTGTCTTTTGTATTCTGTTTACATTTTTCACATTTATAATATAATTATTGATAATAGTAATACAAAATCTCATGAATTAAGTTAGCTTGTCTTCTTAATTTCCACTTTAAATTTCATTTAACACATATAGGTTAAGAGTTTTTGTTTAGTGGTGTTAAACCCAATAGATTCATATTACTTTATGATGGCGTCCACTTCATGCAACTGAATTAATAAAAACAAGAGATCAATGAGAAATCAGTCTGTTCAAAGGTTGATTCAAAACTTTAATTGGTTATAGTAAAAATAGGAACAAATGAGTAAAAAAAAACGTATGCTTGTATTTATTAAATGACAGCGTGAACAGTGAAACCAGCTAAAAACAGCAGGGATCAAATAAAATCAATAATAAACCAAGCGGCTTTTGAAACAAAGATTTTAGCTACTCTTGATTATACAGGTATATAACTTTCATTCTTCTTTTTTTTCCCTGAGGCCATGAACCATCAAAGGAGCTGCTGAATTATGGGTAAAGATCAGAAAGCGGCTTCTTCGAGATGAAGATGCTGTTCAGACCAGAGGGTAGCTGGCAACTGTGGCGATTCCACAGTGGTTGTATCTGTCTTTAGCCATGTAGATATAGCCGTTGTTTCCCCAGCCTACCCCCCAGCTGCAACGAGACAAATCCACAGAATGAAAAACTTGTGTTAATGCTCTCCATCTGTCTTTCAGTGAAGATCACTTTACATCACAGTTTTAACATTTATATAAGAAAAGACAACAGGAAAAAGATGTGCTATTTAAAATGTGTTGTGGCAGTTGTTTTCAGGACATATATTAGAATTTCTACTAATTTAAGCACAGAGGAACATTAGACTGAAAACAGAACAAATGTGGTTATCAAGGTGTACTCTACCTTTCACTCAACCCTTCATCTCTTCTTTTTCTTTCCTTTATCCCTACTTTATTTCTTCAATCTTTATTAGTACCTTCCCTTCTTTATTCTAATCTTTACTCCTTTGTCTCTCTTACCTAAAGTCTTTCCTTATCCTTACCTTTGGGCTCCTTATCTCTACCACCCTCATTCTTTCTACTCTCCTCCCTCATCCCTAGTGATCTTATAGGTTAATATTTAATATATAATATATTTATTTATTATTTATTATTAATTATCCCTTCATTCCTCATCCTTACCTTCCTCAATGAACATGCTTTATCCTTAATGAAACATCTATTACATCATTACTACTTATTGCCTCCTTCATCTCTCATCTCTTCTTTCCTCATCCATAATCTTTGACTCACTTACTTTTTCGTCAATACCTTCTTTATAACATATCTGCTTCTGCCTCTTTTCTGTATAGCATCGGGAAGCTTTGGCTTTGGAAATTGGTGAGACAGAGCGCCCTTGATAACTGATGTGTCATAATATCCTTTTATAAAGAGGAAAGAGGCTATCAAATGTGTCACTTTTCCTTGTTTCCGTGTTGTTGTTTTTTTTACCTGTTTTTGACAATCCAGTAGCTTTGAGTAGAAAACAAAGATGTTTGTGTGCCATAACCGACCACCAGCACGCCGTGGTTCAGCCTCTGGCTGCTGCAGTCTTTTTCATAGTAGATGCCTAAAACACATCCAATCATTTTATTCTGGAGACAAAATTATTTTTAGACACGATTTTGTCAAAATGTTAGCTTTGCATTAAGTTAAATGCAGGTTTATGTTCAGAAGCCCACTTAGTTCTTTAGATTGACATTTTACACACCGTCATTATGGTCTCAAAAAGTTTTTCTTTCTTTTATCCTTTCAATTGAAATGAATAATTGTTTAACTGTTTTTAGTTTACCACCTACCTGACTGGTAAAACTGGAAAGAAAAGTGACCGGCATCAATAGCAACAGAAATTGGTCCCACAGAGGCCACTGCGTTCATCAGAGCTGACTCACTCCCACTGGGAATGTCTGTATATCCTGTGAGGTTGATGGAGTTGTAACTTGGATTATAGCGGCAGGGCATGTCCTAAAAGCCCAACGCAGGTGAGTTGTGTTGACGCTTTCAATCAAAGGCCGTTTTTGCATCCTTTATACTTTGACTTCTGTAACTCTTAAGATACTTACCCTTCCCCTGTATGGGTAGGATGCTTCAGAGTCCAGACCATGGTTGTCTATAACATACTGAAAAGCTCTGTCCATCCAACCACCGTTGCAGCCATAGTTCCCCTCTGGTTTAGAACAGTCCACCAGGTTCTGCTCACTCAGCGATACTAGTTTACCAATCTTTCTGTAGAGCTGGCCCTCCATTGCCCCTGTGGCACTAAAGGCCCAGCAGGAGCCACAACTCCCCTGAAGACAACAAAGATGAGGACTGAGGCAGGAAATGCAACTTTATGCAACAATTAGAGCATCTTTGTGACACTAGCCTAATTTAGGCACTAAACCAAATCATTTTAATAAGTGAGGGTTCGATAGATGCATTTACTTGTTTTGGATTAGTTGGTTCAGGATCAGTGTTAAACCCGAAACAAACCTCCTTTATGTGCCTTTGTGCCTTTCTCGTTTCTGGGATTTTATGTTATTGACCAACACTTAGTAGTGCATTATTTTAAAGTGAAAGAAAAAATACGCCTGGATTTATATTCAGCCATTCTGACTCGACACATTGCTGAAACTCTTTAGCTGCTATTAAAGTGACAGGGAGATGATTGGTAGGAGGATAGAAAACATCAACACCTTTTCTTTTGCAAAACAGCTCATGCTTTTTCACAGTATGAAGAGCATCTTGTCAAGGAGACTACATATACAGTATAACTGGTATAGACATGTTGGTATAGGTATAATGTGTGATCCGGTTGTGGCTGTAGCAGCTGTCTTAGGTAGTCTTTACTCTCCTCCTTAGCATTGTTTTAACGCAAACTAAGAGCTCCAGACCTGCCAAAACCTGTGATATAAAGCCAGTAAAGCAGAAGCTGCTATGAAAAATTATTTGAATGTAATCTGACTGCTTTTCTTTTTTCAGCACAGGTATACTTTTAAACACAAATAAAGACCCACTGATATTTATGATCTCTTGATCCTGTTAATATAATTTTAACCAAGCCTGTACATGTTGTTTATTTCATCTCTGTCTTTGTTAGAACAGGATGAACTGGTTTCAGCTGAGTGATGGTATATACGTTAAAGGAAAAGGAAGAAAGCAATACGCTGTCATGGTGGAGGAGGGACTTTAATGATAAGACATGAAAAAACCAAATGACTGTTTAAAACATTTTTTTTTTTAAACAATGTGACAAAACCCTGTCTTTGTTGCTGCCAGACTGACTTTTTACAATTCAGGAGATGAAAAAGATCAGAAATCTCTTACCTGGTCTTTAATAGGTGTAACATAGCCCTCCTTTCTCCAGTCCACAGCAGAAGGAGCTTTCATAAAGCTGGGCTTCAGGAAAAAGGACGCATTTACTTTTTTCTCTGCTCTGGGTTTGTAGCCGTTCATCATCTTCCTAAACTCCTCGTTAGTCTGTGAGCAAAGCATTTAATCAAAACAGTTTATCAGGTTTAATCTCCGTAACACTAATTGTCATACGATGTACAAGCAAACAGACTTTATTCTGGAGATCCTCAAGCATTTGTGCTTGGATCACTGACTTTTTCCATGGATGATTGTTTTAAGGCAGACGTTGCAAAATGTCCCTTATTTTTCAGATTGAAATCATGGCTCTGTCTCATAATAGACTTCCAGAATGTCAGTTTTTATTCAGATGCCTTTTAGGAATGTCCAGTTGACTGATTTTGTTCATACAGAAGTATAGCTGGAAGGATTTGTTTTAACGGAGCTATGAGATTAATCTTGTTATAACTGTCATGTTAAAAACTTTACTTTACCATGTCTCCAAAGTGATTCATCCCCAGGGTGTAGGTGTGTTTGCCCATGGAGGACTCCAAGTTGTGCAGAGTGATCATCTTCAGGTTCTTCTCCCACACCATCCGCCTGTAACCTTCATCTTTCTATATACCAGCCAAAAAAAAAAATAAATAAATACATTTAAACTGTGGTTTTTAATCAACAATATACTCTCCGTCTCATGTGTCCATGAAGACCTATAGGCAGGAAGGGTCTTGTTAAACAATGTGTATATGCTACAATCAAAATGATAATTTGATTACAAAGAAGTTGAATCTATTTTCTTTCTTGAAATGGTCAGAGACAATTTAACTGCAAGAAAACTAAACCTAAATCTGGGATGGGAATCGAAATCCGGTTCCTGTTCAAAACCGGTTCCGTGCGTTCCAATTCCATGGCACCGTTTGGCAGCTCGCGTAATGATTCTCTTAAAGATTCCAGGTAGCACCAAAGCCGGTCTCGGCAGCACAACTTACGTCACATTTTTTTACGCAAGTTACGCACGTGGCATTCAGTAAGCAAGTACGACGTGACCAGGCGTAAGTCTAGAAAAGCAAAACAAAACAAATGGTGCCCCATCGGGCAAAGTGATCAAAAGTTTGGCTTAATTTTAAGGAAGAGAAAGATGGCAACAAGGACCTTTGCAATCATTGCAAAGTGGCAATTACGTCTGTGGGAGGAAATATATGCAAAATGCAGAAACACCTGCGCACACAACATGGCATACATTTTAACGAATGCTGTGTTTTTGATGCCTTCCGGTCAGAAGCTAAAGTTACGACCAGCAATGAAGGCAACTCTGGTAGTAAGTAGCTAGTTTTATATCACTGGCTGTGCTTAACGTGGTTCCTAGTAAATCATAAGCCATTTCTAGAAATAAACCAATTTCCTACCTCTCTTTGGGTTGTTAAGGAAGTGTGCTTTTCTCGTTAATCCAGTCCTTCATTGCTAGCATGTTTAGTTAGAACCCCTTGTAGCTGCAATTCTTACACGATTCCAGCTATTGCAATGGATGTAACGAGACATACTACAAAGTTGCTCCGCAGTTCAGGGAGCGAGAGAAAGGTGATGCTCGTTTATTTAAATCAGGGGGAGTTTAGCTTATTTCCCGAAATTGTACAGTAATGCTTTTTCATTAAACAGAATCGATAAGAGAATCGATAAGGAATCGAATTGTTACACAGATTCGATAAGGGAATCAGAATCGTGAAAATCTTATCAATTCCAAACCTAAATGATGTCTCGTCGAATTGGCTTTTCATACTTAATGCACATGTGCTTAACTCTGAGTGGAACTAGTTCAAATTGATTAAACTAATTTATAGCAGCTGTTGTGAAACCGGACCAACTTTAGGCTAGATTAATTTAGAGTTGCGGATTTGAATCTGAATTTGTCAAACCTGCTTTGTGAAACGGACCCCCATTGTAATAAATTACATAGCACATCACCTCATTGTAGACTTTATGATAGTGGTTCTTCCACAGCTCCCATTCCTGATCCAGTATTGGGTCCTTACTCTGGGTCAAAAAGACTGTAGCCATGCAAAGCATCAAAACAGCCAGAAACAGCATTGTTGCAGATTCCTTATGGGAAGATAACATAAGTACAATTAAAACATCTTCTGGCACCAGTTTATCCAGTTTAGCAGTTGTTACAGTTAATGCAACGATCAATATCTAACAAATGACTAAAGCACTTTCACGGCACATTCAGGCAGATTGAATGCATGCACTCTATCCTGTGTCATTTGTTACACAACACTCTATAACACTTGTGAAACTGTACATAAAGAGTCCTCTTAATTCTAAAAACTGTTAGTTTTATAAGAAAACAGTAAAATGTGGAAAACATGAAAAAAAGATAAATTATCTACTTTCTAAAAGCATAAAGCACAACAGCCATGTATACATTTTATGTTTCCCCTCTGGAAATGTTTTTTTTTTTGCAGTTTCAGTTTTCCATTAAATAAATTTATGTTATTTGAAGGTAAACATACTTCTGATCAAATATAAAAAACTTACTTTGTTCCTACAGTTGATTAAGAAAAGAAGAAACTGCTCTCTTGTCAGGGTGAACAAGAGCTATGAATTACTGAGTACCCGCCAGCGGAGTGAAGATCTTCTGGATTGTCTGTTTGTTTTACAGATGAGTCAAGGACAACAAAGGAACATAACTGCCTCCTTCTTGAAAAACAGGAAATAAACCTTTGGGTTCTTCATACCTTTGCACCCAAAGGTATGTAGCCCTACAGGTAGTGTTTCTTTAGAAGCTTTATTTTACTTTAAATTAACTTGTCCATTTAAAGGTACAGTTATATAAAGGTTCCAGGTGGATCATCTAAATAAGTGGTCCTCCTAATTGTCAATCAACCTGGTCATTTGTTTACATAAGGCCCTCCTTCGTGCTCCTCCCCAGTTAGCTATCTTTTTCTGTGCCTGGCTTGGTAATAGGGACACTTGTTTTTCATAAATAATTCCCACAGTGGGGAAAGCATTTGGTTTCAAGGCACCCTGAGACTTCATGACAATCACAAAAAAGGGGCCTGTTTCCTTTAAATGTGATAAAGAGATAATGGCGGTGAAAGGTAGCGAAGCCGAAATAGGCTGGAAGAATATTTCGAGAGGGAATTATAAGTCAAAAATAGTTGTGGAACATGTGTATTCTATGTCTCAGTTTATTGACTGGCCAGTGTTTATGTTTTTGTGTATAATAACGGTGAGCTAACAGGAGCTAGCAGGGGGATTCATTGACTGATGGAGCGAGGGCTCCGGGGGTGATTAGGGACCTGTTTGGGTTGATTTGGTTATAGTGAAATGATACAGAAGAATTTGGACATGCAAGAGGCACTAAGAAACATTTGGATATGAAAAACTTATTTTGATGTCTAAAAGGAGCAAAAAACAGCTCTGTTCTCTAAAATTGTGCACATGTAGTTTAACAAGGATTATACAATTTGACTGAGGAGCACTGATGCTGTCAAAAACCAGGGGAAACCAAACACGAGGAGCCAGGGAGAGTCAAGGTAGGAAGACAACAGCAAAGAAAAACCAGCGACGACAAGGAGAAAGCAAGTAGTGACACTAGAGGGAGAGTATATATAGCTGACTGAAACAACTGCAGGGCTAACGAGCTGATAAGAAGCAGGTGTGAGTGGAGACAACGAGGAAGCCAAGGGGAAAGGAACACACACAGGAGGGCAAAAGAGGACAACAACAGAAAAACCTGAGACCTAAAATAAATCTAGAAACACAAAGTAGGAAATAAAACAATGACGCACTGATCAAAGTAAAACAGAAAATAAGAACGTGACACAAATGCATTTTATTTAAAACCAGCGGATCAGAGTAGCAGTGGCTAGGGCCTCTAAGGATGGAGCCTCTGCAGGAGAGAAACACATGTAAGTGACCATGATAATCTGACGGAGGTTGATTATGTGAGTCACTAACCCTAACCTACTTCAGTCTATGCCCAGGGAACTAGGTAGGATCCAGCCTGTGGACTGCCAACATGATTGTCCCAGATGCTGCAGCCCCAGTGAACAGACAAGAGTCCAAAGCAAGTTCAGGCAAACAGATCAGAACATAAACAGGCAGGCTCAGAGATCCAGGAGTCCAGTGACAGTTCAGGCAAACCGTTCAGATGGGAAAAGGCAGGATCATTGGTTGAGAGACAGAACAGGATCAGGTAATCGGAAAAGCTAAGTTAATCATAAAACACTCTGACCACTGAGATGAGACAGGAACAGCCAGGCTCAATGGTTGAGAGACAGAACAGGACAGGATCAGAAAATCAGAAACACCAATGTTCTCTGAAAACACTCTCACCACTTGCTAGAGAGAGCAAGATATTCTGGCTCTGATGACTGGATGCAAGCACCTTAAATAGAATTAGGAGCAGGTGGATCAGATGAGCAGTGATGAGAAACCGAATTCCAGTATGTGTGGGTTGTTTATGTGTTTTTTCCTCTCTCCACCACCAGGTGGTGCCCTGTCCTCGTTAGGCCTCCCTGCACACCTTCGGCTCGTTGGGTCATTACCGGAGGAGTGCTTGAGCAGCGGGCTGTCACTACCTTGACGCCAGAGTGTTTGCCAGTTTTGGGTACTCTAGCCAAGCTGAGATTAGCAGAGTCTAAACCTTAGCATTGTTTCTCTGAGTCTGATCTTTTTTTTTTGCCTTGCTCTTCGACAGAAAGCCTTCCTGTGAAACTGGATAGCCTGGACCTTCTCCCCCAGGAATGATTTACTGAGTTCACACTGAGCAGGGGAAAATCTTCACATGATCTGTTGAAGTCCTCATCTGGAAAACCAAGTGACAGTCCGCTCCTTTACTCCTCTGGGTCCAATGTGTGTCTCTCTGTCCGCTCTCCAACTAGTTCCCTATTCTCTGGATTAAACCCCCATAAACTGGATTCAAGGATTAAAAGAGCCCCCCAAATGTGAGTTTCTCTCCAGCATATTCAAGCCTCAGTCATTTTTCCTACAGCCCCCGAACTGATCACTGTGATCTCCCCTTCAGCCTTTCCGGTTCCGGTTCACCAGTCCGGTGAGTTCCTGCTTATTCTTCAGTGTTTTTCTACATTCAATAAACCTATTAAACTTTTGCCATTGGCCTCTGAGTGGTCCTCTGCATGTGGGTCAGATCACTTAAACCAATTCTGACAGGGCAGAGTTACACAGGTGACTGGAATGAGTAATTAAGCCAGTCATCAGTGCAAAGATCATGACAGATGCAGAAGTTTACACCAGATGTGGTGAAGAAATTATGATTTTTCTGTTTAGATTGAGTCATTTTTCAGCGTTGAGTTTTTCCCTGCTTTTGATTACCGGTATTCTCTGTCTAAACCTGATTTTACTTCTCAGCTTCAGGATCCACCCTGGCAAAGACTCCTGTTGCATCAGGCTCACCAACTTGGCCTTCAGAACCCCTGGCTCAAACCTGTCCACCCTTATCTCCAAACACCCTGAAAGACCAGTGTCTCCACCCGTACATCTGCTTCCAACCAGCTAAGACCAGGCTTCATGGACTCCTACTCACCGTAAACCGACTTAAACTGCTTTGAGCAACTTTCCATAATCCATACATCCCCATTTAACAATTTGTATTCCCTTCCAGTGCCTCTCTCAATCCCGGCTCCCACAGCTCTTTCCATACTCTGCTCTCCTTCGCATGTCCCTGAAAATAAACTGTTTAAATCTGCTTCTCTCTGTGTTTGTGCCTACTGAAGAGTCCAAGAGCTATCAATATGACATTCCTAGGACACGAGGTTTATTTAATGTCCAATATTATTAATCACAACAGCTCTGCCTTTGGGCCTATTACAGTTTTTTTTTTTTTTTTTTTAGAAATGAACAATGATAAGGTAATACATTAACCACTGTACCTCCCCTGAGAACATTGAGGGAGTAAGAGGTACTATTTCTGGCCTTTTGGTATCTGGTGTACTGATTCCAGGCACTGTACAGAAACCAACATGGCGGCATCCACTACAGATGTAGAATATATAGTAATTGAGATATTCCTCCAAGTTTTGTGAAGCACTAGTGAGGGACGATACAAACATCTTCCCTTCTTTTTTAACACCTGAAATTTTTCAGAAAGTCACACTCATGCCATTCAAGGAGGAGAAGATTTTTTGTATCTTGTGCTGTTGTTTCCTCCTCTGAAAAACCTCTCCCTGCAAGATGCTCCACCTATAAGAGACTCTGACAAGATTGGAGCAAGTTGCTATTATCAGGTGTAAGGTACTTCTTGTCTGTGTTGACGCTGTCACCAGGTGTGTTGAAAACTTTTCTCCCGCTCAGTCCTTGTCAGAGTTATGGTGGGGCCGATGCCTATCTCCGGCAAGCTATGGACGAGAGGCAGGTACACCCTGGAAAGGTTAAAAGTCTTTCACAGGGCAACACAAGATACATAAAGACATACAACCCTGCACACACACACTCACACCTAAGGACAATTTAGAGAACCAAATTAAACTAACAGTTATGTTTTTTGGCTGTGGGAGGAAGCCGAACTACCCGGAAATTAACCCATACATGGCAAGAACATGCAAACTCCATGTAGCAAGATCCCAGCCCAGGAATCAAACCCAGAACCTTCCTGCTGCAAGGCAACAGTAGTACCCACTGCGACACCATAAAGCCAAATTATGAGGTTGTTTTGTTTAATTAAGTTCTTTTTTCAGTCTGCGTTTGTAACAATCCTTGAGTGCTAATATTTACTTCAGGACAGACTGCAAAAGTCTCTTCCCTCATCCTATTTTGTTTTAGGTGTGTAGTAATTATTTTCCCAGCAAGTGGGGGAATACCTGGAGAGAGAAATGAGATGAACAGATTGGCTGAGAGCAGCCACAGAGAGGTATTAAGATAGATGCAAGCACTGGACTTTGATAAGAGAATTTGAATAGGTTCTGACTGACTTGATTGACATGGTTAATAACTGGACTGCGATCCCAATCATTGATTAAGACATCAGAGCGATAGCGTAAAAGTGCAGTGTGCCAATGATTGAATAATGAATAATGAGAATGGAGCCTAACTGTGGGAGTGTGTGTTTGGGTTGTGTGTTGTTTGGAGATTGTGAGCTTTTTTTTCCCTCATTTAGCTTAATGGAATTTTGGAGAACTCAGAGTTTTGTTTTCATTTCTTTGTTCTGATATGACCTATGAGGTACAGTTGAGCATGGGGGTGTGAAGCTAATGGATTTTTTGGTGGGAATTTGAGTATCCTTCAAGAGCCAGTCATTCTGGTTCATACGTTTTGGATGGATCCGAGTGAAACATTTTGTTGTCTTACATATTTGTCATTGTTTGTGTTTGTATGTTTGCGTTTTTTTTTTTGTTTTTTTAGAAAAAAAGAAGATATTATAATATTGTTAATTTTGTTTGATTAAAAGTATAGAGGATGATGTTTTATTAGGTTTATAATTTGGTCAATTCCTTTCTTATCTAAAATTCTTGAGAAAGTAGTTGCCAAACAAGTTTGCGATCACTTACACCATAATGAACTTTTTCAAGAGTTTCAGTCTGACTTTAGAGCTCATCGTAGCACTGAAACAGCTCTGGTTAAAGTCGCTAATGATATTCTTATGGCCTCAGATAACGAACTTGTATCTGTAATTGTCCTGTTAGATCTCAGTGCTGCATTTGATACA